CCGCATCGATCTGGACCATCATTCGTGTCGACGTAGAGCGTGGAGAGTGTCCGATCGTTGACTGTTTAGGCTGATTACGTGAGCGAATCTGAACCGTTTATCATGATTGATCTCGTTCATCCGATCGTTCTTAAGGAGGAAATGCAATTGAGCCGTTCACGTGCGCGAGATTAAATCTGGGTCGTCGGATCGGTGGGCGCGCGAATCGTCCGCGTGGCTTCTAGTGTGGTGCCGATGTCAGTGTGTTTCGTCACGCAGCGTGCTCTGCTTAGTTGTGGCAGGTGACTGAGCTGTCCTACGTTGTCAAATTTTTTTCTAACATTTTGACCTCGTGTTTTCAGTTTTTCTTTTAAAAATACCCCTGAATTCAAAATCTTACCCATCTTCTCCAAAATTGCTTTTAATTTCGTTTATAACTTATTTTTCTCTAAAAAATTTAATGAAATTAAATTAAAATAATAATTTTAATTACATATATATTTCATAAATAAGAAAATTTATTACGGACCAAATTTTAGACTTAAGTATTACAATAAATATTAATTAATCAATAAAATGTATGAATCTCTATCCATTATTTATGGTTGGAACAAAAAAAAAGGTATAAAAGTTGTTTCCATAACTTTTGATAAATAGTTCACCCAGCCAATTCTTTTAGACATCAAAAGTGAAAAAAAAAAAAAAAGATTTAGTTGGTATAAATATGTTTTATTATTTTTATATCTTAAATTCACATTTTAGTTATATATACTTTTCATTGTGAAAATATATGCATTAAATAAAAACAAATTTACAGAAATTATGACTATAATTTATGGTTTAATGGATACTTTATCAACGAGTTCATTGACATAGGTGGTGGAAAGAGATGTTCAATTAATTCATAAAACTAAGTTACTTCTATTGTCTATATAAAGTAGCTAAAAGAACTTTATTGATATACAATCGAGATAGATTACACAAGACCACCACAGCTTAAAGTCAATTTTATAATAATTAATCATCTGCTAATATTAAAAAAAAAAAAGACTGAAATTGAATTATATTAGAAGAACAAAATCATCATGATGTATATAATTGACTGAGCACAAACAAATGCACAGATTGGGCACTGCACATTAATTTACAATTATCAAAACAACATAGGCAAAAAAGGTGAATTCAAAACTTATTCACCTTAATTTGCTGCACTTTTCTGCATGGGAGGATTTTTAACTTTCAACCAGATATCTCCTCTGCAGCTTTATCAAAAACCAAATATCTATACATGCAATCTGCTTCCGCCATTAATGCATGCATGTTAAGAATGCAGTAGACATAACACATATACAAATATGTGTATAATCTTCAATAACAGCAACTAAACGAGCCATATTTAATAATTAATTATATATAGAAACTCCTAATGTATCACTAGCTAGCTATAGCTCCATTATTAACTGTCAACACATTATGTTAAGAATGATCCGAGAAGCTGCATCCGAAGAGATGGTTAACGTAGTCTTGATTGTGGACTGTAAGCTCATCATAGGTGTGAGTTACGTTTATAGAACTAGGCAAGCCTGGACTTGCATTGAAGGGAAACGAGGTCGTATCATTGACTTGCGATGCCAGAAAACACTCCAAGTTTTTCCAGCTGTAATCAACGTGCTGGTTATTATTATTGGTCTTTTCCTCCTCGTAATCTTTATGGTTGACATGGCTATGGGAACCTTGCTCTCTCGTGGTAGGGCTGTCGAGTTGAGGAAGCTCTATGAGCTGATTCATGTCCACGAGTGATAAGTTCTGGTTAGAGACGAACACTTCCTGATCATGAATCTCCGAGGACGCAAAAGGATGATGGTAAGGGCTGGAGTGATCTTGATTGGGATCTGACGAAATCGATGGAGCTGGCCTTGTTATGTGGTCATTCATAGGGGCTCTCACACAGAAAGACTGGTTCCATGCATCGAAACCAGGCGGCCGCTGGTTCGGAACCGGCTTTTTGAATGCGCGACAAACTACCCATCCTTCTTCCTGCGACGGTCCGTGTTCGGAGGTTTGGAGGCGGTACTCGTGCATGATCCAATCTGTTTTACGGCCATTAGGGGCCCGTCCCTTGTAGAAGACGAGGGTTTTTCTCATGCCGATTATTCGGTCCTTGGAGAGCACGGCCTTGTCCCGGCCGGTGGCTTTCCAGAAACCGGCCGCTGTGGCTCTGTTAGTCCGGGTTCCGGTTGGGTACTTCCGGTCTTTGTGGCTGAAAAAGTACCACTCGTTCTGTTCATCATACCCCAGCTTGCATCTCGCTGCACAAGTAAATTAACAATACAGCAAATTCATTACATTGGCTTACCATACGACATCGTATTAATTCTACGTAAACACACACACACACACACACACACACTATCTATATCCATATCATGCACGAAAACCACGCATTTAAAATTAAATCCAAACACTTAAACTATATTTACAAGGGTTGGTGCTTTTTAGAAAGTTGGCTAACGAAGAGGACAAAAAAGGTTGACCATTGACCATTAAAAGATTGTGGATGTCCATGTGTGTCAAATTCTCTTCTCATTTATTTTTTGACTAAACATTGTACATTAATAATTAATGTTAGAAAATATTATGCGACAAGCGTGTCATATAGTGTTAGGTAGGAAGCATATATATTATGTGAATTAGCCAGTAATAATTGAATAAAAATTTAAAGTAATAAAAAAGAATTATTATTTTATCCTGTATTCTAATATATACTTTGTAGAATTGAACTTAGCTATAGAGCCAAGTATGAGTTTGGTACTCAAGCTTTTATGCTATATAAAATTAAATATAGAGGATAATCAATTACCTTACAACTATAATAGGTGGTATTTGTTAAAATTTTATTAAAATGATTAAAAAATAAAATTAAATATTAATACATATTAATTTTTATAAATTTGAATAGAATTTTTTGAAATAATCATTAGAATTCTACTCGATGCCTGAGTAATTAAAATTAATTAATTGAATATATACCTTCAATGTCCCATGGTTCGATTTTGTAGAGATCAATATCAACAATGACGTCTAGATCAATTTTTAAGGAATTGATCTTCCTTTTTAGGTAGTAACCCACAAGTTCTTCCTCTGTCGGATGAAATCTAAACCCTGGTGGAACGCACGATTCCATCATCTTCGTTCAATTTCAAATCTGATTCTCAGTCAAAAAATAATATATCAATTAATTAAGTTTTAATTTAATTAATTAATACTAAATATAGCTTAAATCTTAATTTCACTAATTAAGAATTAAAATACAATATAAATGGAATAAATGAGATACAATTTTTTTAAGAAAAAGTAAAGAGAAAAGTTCTAATTGGAAGAAAGCTTTCAAAACAAAGACATCAAATGAAATGGTGGGTGTGTGTGTGTATATATGTATATGTGAGTAATGATGGATGAAATATCTCAGACACATATTGGCCTCTCAGATGAGGCGTATAACATATATATCCAATTGGGTGAGATCTTAAGGGAAGTAAAATGATGGGTATGATGTAAATCTGTGGGGGCACCCACAAAACTATATATACATATGAGTTGACACTAACTAATTAATGGTCCTCCATTGTTGGGTTCTTCTTCTTTAATCTTATGTGGGACCTGAGAAGGACAGTAGACCATATATGTATGTAGGAATATATATATATATATATATGTATAGGTGGTGTAACTGTAGCATCTATATTAATAGTGGGTAGGTAATTAATGGAATAGAGGTTTAATTAGGGAAGAATTAAACAAGTGGAAAAAGGAACTTGGCCGAAAAGCTTGACTTTGCTGGGACAGGTATTCATGCTTTGAGTGCAGTGCACTCGTGGTGGAAAAACTTCATACCCACCACCAAGATTTGCTCTGGTCTTCTACAAAACATCACCTTCACTCATCATCAATACTATATATTCTCAACGCACACACACACACACACACGTATATATATATATATATGTATATTTCAAGGACAATATCATCACTAGCTATATTTCAAGGACAATATCATCACTAGCTACATCCCTTTCTGCATTTTCCCATTGTAATAATTTCACTGCACTCCTCTACCTCCACTATCTATCTCATCTCTCACAATTCAATCCTTCATTGATTATTTGACGCTAATACCACACTTACATATATATCTATATATATATATATTCAGATTAATGTTAAAATGTGAGAAGTTTGATAATAATCCAAACCCAATTGACTACTAAGAAGTACAAAAGGAAAAGATTATGATCCAGGTCGTGATTCATAAATTTTGAATTATAAACCAAAACTGCTGGATCTGTGGATTACATGTATACACATGTACATGCATGTCTGTATAAATATGCATGCTCAGAGTATATATCCAAACCCTGATAATTATGCACGCTAAGATGAGAAATCTTATATGACATGATGATGGAGCTATCTACCTAAAAAGTTGGCAGACATTCTATATGTCTGTAATTACATATATGCATATACTCACGAGAAAAACAGAATTGCTGAAGTAGGTTGCTTCGTTCTTGAACTGCTCCAAGATCACAGACAGACCAGAGAAGGGAGGGAGATTGAGCAACTGAACGTTGTAGATAGAAGAATGATGAGGAGCCTGATCTTCAGTATATAGGTGTATATGTATGTATGCATATATGGAAATTAAGGTGTGATACGTAGTGTAACTGTGTAAGAGAGTAGAGAGAATTAAGAGAATATGTATGTAGGGTGAGTATATGAATGTGGGAATTTGGATGAAGAGAAAAGAAGCAGACAAGGTTGGTTATATATATGTGTGTGTATATGAATTGGGATAACATATATACATCTGTATATATATATATATATATATATGTAGTTTAATTTGTTGAGGAAGGGAGGATATTGATTGCGCGTGGGGTGGCAGTAGATGAAAGGTTTATTTGGACGGCGTGAACAAATTTTCACGCCACCCCCCCTCTCTCTCTCTCTCTCTCTCTACCGCAATTTTGTGCCCTAAGATTTTCCCTCCTATATCACTTTTAACCACTCCATACTCTCACTCACCATCACAGTTGAATAGAATTTTTATTTTACTGTAACTACTTTAGTTAAAAATATTTAATCATTATAAAATATTTTTTATTTAAATACGTTAATTCATTAAAATTATATTTAACTTAATTATCATAATTTTATCAATATATTAATAAAAAATTAAACATTCATTAAAAAAATAAATTAATTCCAATATACAGTAAAATTAAACTTTATTCAAACACTGTTTCACATTATGTCCGCGTTAAATTTGATATTTTTATCTTATTTTATAAATTTGATTAGTATTAAGTTGGAACATCATACTGTAACAACATCCATAATTTAGAAAATAACATATCAAATTTAATCACAACCACATATGTGTATATGTATGGTGTACGAGATGTAATAGTATCATATGGTCTCTCTCTCTCTCTCTCTCTTCCACAACCCAGCTCGTATTGTCTGTTTGGTGCGCCGCCCTCGAACAATTGGCACCGGTGGGCAATTGACACGTGGTAGCCACGTCAGAGTTCCGAGCTGTCCCTGTCATACCTCTAATCATTCGAGTTAGCTGTGTCCAAAAAAGAAGTACTTGCACCTCAGATGATTCCCATGCCTTGTCTCTTTCATTTAAACCCCGCATGTTCTTTAATTCCTTTCGTTACATAAAAATTTATGAACTCGCTTCCAAAATTATCTACCTATGTTATACATGCAGATGTTGTCTACCAGCTTTAACATGGGGAAATTAATGCAATTAATACTTTAATTTAATTCTAATAATTGCTAATTATTTTCACTCACTCTTAAATTTAACCTAGTTAAATATGTCTAGTTGCTAATTCAACTGGTAAACCAACAATTTTATTAATTTTATATAATTAACTATTAACTTAAATAACCGATTATATTTATTAATATATAAAATAATCAAATTAAATATTCAATATTACTTAAATAAATGTAATAATTTTTTTTTTTTAAAAATTTATTTCATTATTTTAATGTCGGGTGCTACTAATTTTATAATATAATTAAATGATATTACATATTTAATTACATTTTTTTATGTTATTAAAAAATAGTCACTAGAGATATTCTTTTTCGTTCTTTTTTATCTTTCAATTGATTTTAATTAATGCTAAACGGTATGAAATAATTTAATCAAACTAAACTTGTCATTATTATTTATTACAGTTGGTTTTTTTTTTTTTTTTTTTCTTCTTCTAGTGCAGTATGTGTGCATATATATTAGTTATAAAACTTGATGTCATCATCACATTTGGCTCTACATATATATGTGTATAAAATATACTACTTTTTTTTACAGACATAGACCCATTTGTGGTTTAATTAAAAATATAAGAGCCACCGACCGAAAAGGGAAAGCTAAAAATGTTGAGTTAATGATGGGGATTATTAAATTCCAAACATTTAATTATATACAAAGTTTTATTAGAACATTACTTTGAAGGCTTGCTCTTTAACAATTTATATTTAATTTTTCTATATTATATGATTTATAAGTTTATTTCAAATCACTTAAAAGTTAGAAAAAAATGAAATTTTGCCTGTCAAATATATTTATAGAATATTATACAATTTACAATATTTGAAATTTCTTATCAACAATTTTACTTTTAAAAAGAATAATAAAGAAAATAAATCAAATTTTATCACTTTCCAATATATTAGTATATTTATGTATATATATATTAAAATAAATATTACTTCTTAATACTTTCCTTAAATATAATAAATTTCATAATATATGTCACGATTTTTAGAACAATAAAAGAAAAACCTTCTAGTATTTTCTTCAATACGCCACGATTTTTTTTTTTTTTTTTTGGCCACCATTTCGAAGATTCACTTTGGATAATGATGCATCTTACATTTGTATGTATATACATATATAAACATTCTAGAATGCTTCTAATTAATTAACATATATGTACAGACAGTCATTTACACTAAGCAAAGATATAGACATATTTTATATAAGTAATAATATAAAATAAGGTACTGGTTGAAAAAAAAAAAAATGTGGCAGGCCGGTATCAATGGGAATTAAATTGAACATTAAGGGAGAAAAAAATGACCACAAATTTTCTCTGCGAGAAGTTTGGTCATTCTTCAACTTAAATCAATAGTGCTTAAAAGTTGTAACCCTCAATTGGATGTGTCCATGGCGGCCCGCATATTATTTTTACTTAATAAATTCTCTCCAAGGTACAGTACTTATATATATATATAATCAAGTTAGATATATAATTGAATAAAAAATATGAATACATAAAAAAAAAAAAAAAAAACTTTGGAATTAAACATTAAATAAATTTAACTTATATTTTTAATATTTTACAATCACAAGTTTATATTTTTTATATATTAAGAGTAAGACATAGTTCCTAGTGTTGTCATTAAAAACAACAAAGGAAGTTTTAGTCTATCATGTTAGAACATGCTCTTATATGATTTGAATTGTTTAAGGTTTAAATACTAATGACTATTTATCAATTTTCGAGTGGAAATCAGGGGGGTATAAAAAATTGTTCAAATTTTTAATAATACAGATTGATTTAAATTTTTATCCTAAGCTCAAAAATCACTGTGTTATGGAGTATGATTAAATTAAAAAAAAAATCATATAATAAGTGTGTATATATAATTGGATGGTTGAATGGAATTGAAAGTTTTGAAAATATGTTGATAAAAAAGTGGGTGGGGTGAGATTGTGACAGGCAAGGAATTAAATGTTGTTATAATTAATTAATTAATTAGTAGCTTACATGCAATCAAATTTATTAGAAACATTCATATCTCTCCTTTTTTTTTTTTTAATAGGTTATAGATTTAAATTGGACAGTATATTTTTATTTAAATATTATTTGTGTTGTATTATAATTAATGTATATTAAAAAATAAAATTTATTAAGAACAAAAAATAATAATAATAACAACTAATTACATGAAATTTGACTAATTAATTTGTCTCTTAACTAATGATTTAAATTAGTTATTTACATGACTTTTTGAATTCCGACTTGCAGAAGAAAAGCTGTTTTGGATCTTCTTATCCAATTAATTGTTTACCCTAAACCCAATTGGCTGGGCGGTGCATAACCAAATATCAAATGCTTTACAATGTTTCATGAAAACTAACATGATTTAACTCCCCTCTCACTTTCACAAAATCTTAATATTATTTGTTCTAAACCACATGATTTAACTCAATAATTATCAATTAATATTTTATTATTGTTCGTCTTATACCGTTTTACAAGTTAATTATATATTAGGTTGTAATTAAATAAATATAAATTGTTTTTGAAATTAAAGTACACTGATTTAAATATATCGTGTGTATAAGATTATAGTTACATAATTTTTTTTTAAATAACAGTTTAATTTTTTTATTGTTTTATAATATGCAAATATCTTGAAAAAAATTATGAAAAATCGAACTTGGACTATCAAGTTAATATATAAAGTTTAATTCTAATATATTTTTAATTATAATTTAACTATTGAGATTTTATATCTATTTTAAGAATTAGTTTTCGTAAAATTTGAATTGCCAAAAATAGTTTATGGCAGTGAAAGAGGTTGTAAGAAATGTTCGTCGTTAGTAATAGTGACAATCGGCATTTAAAAGCAAGAGATGAAACTTCTATTCAAAGTATTAGAATAATATGAAAAGAAATTCATACGTGATTAACATCTGATCAGTTAATATAAATTAATTTTAAATATTTATTTAAAAATTTTAAAATATGCAAAAACTCAAAAAAAAAAAAAGGTTATAATAGCGGTGAGCTTTTTTATTATTTAAGTTATTTTATTATTTAAAAATTTAAAATATATTTTAAAAAACATATTTAAATACAATTTAATCATTTTAATTTTTTTTAATTAAAAAGTATATGAAAATTAGATTTTGTGACAATAGTAAGATATCACGATCAAATTATAACGAATAAGAATCAAACTCTAATAAGTATTAAAATTTATAAACTAATTTAGTCAAAAGTTTATATACACACTGTTTTCTTTTTTATTTATTTATTTTTTTTGTGTGCAAAACATCTAACATTCTTTGGGCTATATTTCACTTTGATAATTGGGTATAAAAACTAATTAAACCAGATTTTAGAAAAACCGATTATTCTCTTAAATTAAAATTTATATCTTTAGTTTAAATAATTACTCATCTAATCAAATATCTAATTATTAAAAAAATTCAATATATATGCATGGGACCCATCTCATCAACTTCGTATATCATGAACCTACTAATCTCATCACAATCTGATGCGATCTACCGACTCTCTCTCTTCAAATTTATATGTGGATTACTCAACAAACTCTGTAAAACATTGAACAAAAGAAATAATCTTTTCTAATTGCTCACATTTCCCTTTTAATTACCAGCTTAAATATGATTAGATAGTTCAGTTTTGGTCACTAATCATTTACCTGGGATTAATTTCTCCAATATCAAATTGATACAAAACAAGAATTTTCTTTTCAACTATTAATTATAAAAAAACCCATCATCATTACTTCAAAAAATATATAATTAGTTTAATTACTGGTCTAAGTTTGGTGGGTAGGAATGTAATTTGATTAAAAATTTATTTATGAATTAATTAGTTGAAAGCACGAGATAAAGCACAAATGATAATCGGTGGCGTGGTGAGAGAGTAAACATA